GGACAGATTATTCTGAAATCCACCAAATGCTCTGAATGAGCTTCACATCGCTTTTATGGAGTCCAGTTCAGATTTATGGAGTAGAAAAGAAATCCATTTCAAGAGTAATTGGCAAATTAATCCGCATTATTTTCATGACTTGACATTTTGTTTGATTATTTAATAAAATCTCACAGCATTTCACTAGTTTTATCTGATACAATTCAAGCCTGTCTATATTCACAACCCAATCTCTTAAGCTGATTCTGTAAAATTCAGGTATAATTTGCAGAGCCATTAGGGAAATACCAAGGCATGAAGATTTGAAATTGACTTTCCTGATTTACAAGAAGGGAACTGGGTTTTTGAAAGAAATTTCACATTCAGCATATCTTTTTTTATTCATACTTGCTACCACAAGTACCTCAAAAAACTGAGTTCACCTTCTAAATATGCGCAAACTTGGTTTTTTTCTTTTATTTGGAGGAATCGTGCATTACCGTTTTTATCATGTTCAATATCTCAAAAGACTGCATTATTCTGCAATATTTACTTAGTTTTCATGGATTCAGTAATCTCTTGATCCTTAAGTTTACAGAGCTGAATGCAATATATTTATTTGTTCATTTGTTGATCATGTGGCTAGAATAGCTTTATTAGTCTTTTTATTTTTATTTTTTATCTTTTCTGTGTTATATGAGCTAGAAGTGATTGAAAGGGGACCTGCTCTTTGGAGTAGCCAAATTTGGAGATATAGTGTATGGCATTCAGAACAGCTCACTTATAAGCCACTGTTGCATCAAGGTAATGCTGCTTGCCGCTTTCATCCACACTGATTCCTTCAAACACCAGCCACTCTGAGAACCTCGGTTCAACAGGGCCAATCTCGAAGATGGGGTTCACATGGAGAGGTGTGGGACCCATTGGAGTGAGGTATTTCTGCATCTCTCCTCTTATAATTTCACATCTATATGACAAAGATTTGTTTAGTGTTGAAAACCCAGAATTTGATAGATCAGAGAATACTCATTTTGCACAATCTCTGTTAACAAAAGTAAACATAAAACTAATTGTCTGAGGTTTGAATTTCAGCTAACCTGTCCTATAATATAAAGAAAACGATAAAGAACCATAGAACTTATAATGACATGGCCTATGCCATAGTTAGCGTGCATACAACATAGTTAGCTTGCATAGTGTGTTGTATGGAACTTGACACTGAGTGAATGTTCTTAAGAGACAATGCTATGTTACTATACTACCATTTCAGTGATATAGTACATGGCGTCTTAATTGTCCCTTCCAAGATAGCAGATGATAGTGATTGATGACTGCCATGCAGGTGGACCTGGACTGGCTGCTGGCCATGACAGCACCTTTATTTATGTCTCACCCATCTTGGTTCTCGATGGTTAAGATGCTTTGCAAAATACCTACAAAATGCTACATAGTATTATAGTACACACTACTAGTTTCAGTTCTTAATTGTAAAATTTATGTGTTAGTTGATTTGCAATGGTTGATAGTTGTGAAGTTTATCTAAGGTTAGTTATCCCGGTAATAACTTGTACTTAATGGGTACGTAACCATGTAATTTCTGTGCTTGTGCGTGTGCACGCGTGTTTATATGGTCTTTGTTTGAAGCAGTGTCTGAAAAAACAGATTTGGGATGGGAATGGGAATGGGAATGGGGTTGGGGTATTTGGTGGTTGGGGGGTGGATACCTCGACCTGACATACCACCCTCCATTTCCACAGTTAACCTATTAAAAAAGGAAAAAAAAAAGAAAAGAAAGAAAAAACAGAAATGGAAGCTGAATTCGTCCCTTGGTAGAGTGATTCTAATTGGCAATTCTGATCTAGATCTTCGTCCTCAGTAGAGTGATTCGAATTGGCAATTCTGATCTAGATCACCTGATCCAGGCGACAAAAAAAAGAGTTAACAAATATTTAAGGTCAATATCATTAACAAATCACTGTTTTTTTGTTTCCTTTTCGTTTTTCAATTAAAAAAAAGATTTAGCCGACCCCAATTTGTTGGGAAAAGGTTATGACGATGATGAATTAAAAAACAGATTTAAATATGTCAAAATTGAAAAATAACATATTTACATGTAAAAGTAGAAAATATCGTTTATGATTATTTCAATGATCTTCAAAAAAAAAAAAGCCCAAAAATTTTCTTTTAGAGAATATAGAGTTATGAAGGCCGATTGTTAAGAGTTTTTATTCTTCACAAAATCTGTGAAAAAAATGGCTGATTAATCCTCCCAAAGTTCCACCCAGAAAATGGTGGATTTCAATCAAACAAATTTCGAAAATAATTCAGTTTTTCGTCTTCTGATTTCATCTGATGGAGCATAGATCTAAAGAAATATGATGTATATCTTATAGAGTTATAAAAAATGATAAGAAAAATTTTCTCTTCAGAGAAAATAGATAAAAAACATCAGAGAATATAAGAAAAAGGCTTAAGGGTGAGAAAAATGCCGAAAACCCCAAATTCTTAGATATTTCTGGTTTTGATTTTAAATTTTTTATTACGGTTATGGAATATCAATGATAGAAGGAATAATTTGGGACAAATTAGATAAAATTTGGTGAAAAAATGAGAGCAATAAAATATTTTTTATTTCGATTTATAAAGCTAGAAAATGGTACATGGGGAATGTCCAATTTGCCCGATTCAAATTGGTGATATCCTTGACAAAAATGCGCAGATCTTTAACAGAGCGGCTGATTCAAATAGGAATAGGCTAATGCCTGATTCTGTAAGGGACTTGGAATTCCCTGCTGATCCTATCAGGCGATTCTGATGCAGATCGAAGATTATCAAAATGCTAGTTTTGAAATGATCATTTGTTTAGAGCAGTATTTTGAAAAACCAATCAATGGGCTGGATCGTCGTCCCACCAATCCGGTGATCGGCCGGATCGGAGATCTAGAAAAATTGAAAAAAGAAACAAAAATAATAGAAGCCCATTACATACCATATGATATGCAAACTACTTTATAAAAGATGTTTTATTCGGTGGACAACATCGTCATCATGAGCTTGGAGGATCGATTCCTCTTTTCTTGTCTCTTTTTTTTGGTTTAAAAAATAAAACCAAATAAATATACTATATATGGTATAAGAATATATAATATTTTAAAATTTCAAATGGACAGAATGTGCATCGTGGGGAACATAAGGAAGGGGTGGGCTACTGAAAAGGCTACTTTTTGGTTATTTTAAGAATTGCATATTATATTTTAAAATAAGTAAACCACTGATTTAGACCAAGAACTGGCACGTTTATTAAGTGATTCACAATCCAGATCGGGCGATTTTTAAAACGCTAGTTTAGAGAAAGGTTGAATCTTATGACCTACAATATATCTATATCAGCAAAAGTCAACGTATTAATATTTGTATATCTATATATCAGCATGGAATAGAGAAACAAAAAATATGTAGACAACAAAGAGAAAGCAAGTGAACTCTAGTAGTAAAGATAGAGGATATACTTAAGCTCTAAAAATCCGCTCATTTCAATGGCCCCACAGAATGAAACTTCACCATCACCCTGAGAAAAATGCATGT